AGAGAAAGGAGAGAGGGAAGAGAAAGGAGAGAGGGAAGAGAAAGGAGAGAGGGAAGAGAAAGGAGAGAGGGAAGAGTGGGGAGAGAGGGAAGAGAAAGGGAGAGAGGGAAGAGGGAGGAGAGGGGAGAGAGAGAGGGAAGAGGGGGGAGAGAGGGAAGAGGGAGAGAGGGAAGAGGGGAGAGAGGGAAGAGTTTGGAGAGAGGGAAGAGAGGAGAGAGGGAAGAGTGGGGAGAGAGGGAAGAGTGGGGAGAGAGGGAAGAGTGGGAGTATGTAAGCTGAGTTCTTCTGAACAGCTAGCAAGCCCATTAGAGGAGTATTTGTGACTTCATGACAGCGTCATTGTCATGAAGTACTCACCTAATGGGCAGATAGAAGCTGTTCAGCTTTGGTTGACAATCTAGCTCAAGATATGGTAAATACACATGGCCTTGTGCTATAAATAAATTTGGTAAATTTTGAAAAGAATTCAACAGAATGTCTCTGGAATTCTTTGCAAGTCCAAACTTGCAGGATTGTTTGATTTGAAGGAAAATCCAAGAGTCGATCAGTAGATTTATTTAATCTAGGATTATCTCCACAGAATCTGATATTGGACATGCCTATGCCGTCCACTAAATCTTCGTCTGATTTTCAATAAGGTGAGCGATTTTCATGTCAGAAGTTTTTGTTATTTTTCTTCTTTCTTTCTTTCTTTCTCCCTATTCCCTTCTATCTCTCCTCTCTCTTTCCCCCTCCTTCTCCCCTTTTTTTTTTTTTTTTTTTTTCCCAAAAAACTAATGATTTGTAAAAAATATTTTGTGCCATTGTTTATCATGTCAAACCCTAACTTTCAAATTGAGTGCAATATCACAGTTTCTATATCAACCTGCCCTTTTGGCCACTTGGGTGCTGACAGACTTGGATTTAACAAAATGATAGTGTTAATTTTTTTTTTTTTTTAGTGTAAATTATAATATTGAGATGGTACAGTTAGGAGCTCGGATTGGGGAATCACAGAGCCGAGTTCAAATTCCAGTCAAATCTATTACATTCACTTACGTGCTAATACTCTTGGGAAAGATATGAATCCTCTTCTCCACCCAGCTATGGGTAAATAGCAGGACAGACCGAGTTCTATAGGCTTGGATGGTCTACCACAGAAAGAAATGGCAATCTACTGCTGGAAAAAAATCTGCCTCATCAGTCATGTATCGAAAGGTACATGATTGCCTAAGCATGCATTACGCATGGCACATAACTGACAGAGTGAATTATAATATTAACCAACTCTAACATTGCATGAGTAATCTTTGATATCAAATGCATGTGCTGTCTGGAATTGATATGCAAATACAAATTTTTCAAATAAAATTATTGTATCAATTCACAGTAAACATTTCCTAAGGAAACATTCAGCATTCACTGACCGAGTAGTTGAATTATTGTCAGTTGATGCTTGTAAAATAATTCTCATAAAACAAATTTTCAGGAAAATAGGTTTCTCAAATATTGAAGGGAGTTTCCTTCCTAACCATTCACTTAAAGTGGTGTGGAATGTCAACATCTAGATTATGTCATTTTCTCTGAGTACATCGGATATCCATTTTAGCTTTTGTAAGTCCTCATAGGGATTAGGAGAGATAGCAAAAAGACAAAATTTAGTAAGAGCTACTAAGGACAGGAAATTGTGGAGAGCCATAATCATTAATATCCTGAAGGGACACAGCATATCAAAGATGTGTATATGTGTGTGTGTGTGTGAGATAAAGAGAGAAAGTGAGAGAGAGATCCATCTCAATGTTTCGAATCGTTTAATATATAGACAAAGTTGCTTCCTAATTGTAAATGACCTCTTGCAGTGACCCTCAACTGGATTTTAAAATGCAGTGCCAAAAACCCTGTTGGCATAGTACACATCAAAACTGATAGGATTATTTCATTAATTACAATATTCAGGTTATTTTCCTCATCTTTGTTGTCATATTTATCACGTTTTGGCCATTGTACGCTCCAGCCTTCTTCAGGTGGTTGAAATGTCAAACTGAACCCTTTATTTTGCTTGCTGGGGTAAACTGTTCTAGTTCCATGTGCCATGTCTAATGGATGTCAGTTATCTCCCGTTAATTCGCCTCTCCAAGTTCTCCACTGCCTTAACCAGGTATTGAACTCACAATCTTTGGGTCCTGTCACTGGATCTAACCAACACCTTTATCCACTGTGCCATATGTCCTTAAGGAGGTGAATTAACAGGAAATAACTTACATGGCAAGTGGATCTAGAACAGTCTACCCCAGTGAGCAGAATAGAAACGTTGTGATAAATAT